GAAACAATGAAAGAGGGGAGAAGCCGTGCCTACATAGGCATGACCTTTCTCCCTCTGAAAGTTCTACCCTCCAACATCCATGCATGCTAGTCACCAATGCTAGGAACTCTGAAGTTAGGTGAAGAAGGAGGAGAGTAATCTTGATTTGCTCCAGAGAGCAACAGTGCCTCATCTCATTTCCACATTTTCTGAACACACTGCATAGAATAGAATCTTCTACCAAATACAATGTTCAAGTCAACCCAGACTTTGGGAGTTGCCATTGAACAAAACTAGATAGTTTTGTGTATCAATCTGTAGTCTTTGGATCCTAAATATTAATAATATATTTTTACAGAATTCCTGGTCCTGATACCATCATGCTTATATCCAGACTTTGTTCCTTAATAAAGATATCTTCTTTTAGAATACTGCCATTCTTTTTGACCATGTGAAGATGGGAACATTTAGCTCAAAATTCTGACTCTTAACTTTTAAGAGCATAAGCATTAGAATAGCTCACATTTTCATATTGGAAAGCTGCTTTCTTTCTTCCTTCCTTTCTTTCTTTCTTTCTCTCTTTCTCCTTCATTCATTTCCTTTCCTTTTTAAACAACAAAAGAGCTGTTTACAAGGGACCAACTTAGCAATATTCATCTCTGAAGCAATTTTTTATATGCTGTAAATAAATTTGCAAAATCATGTAATTTCATAGCAATAACATGACCTGGAACTTACAAGGTAATTAAACTCAAAGCATCTAAGTATAGTGCTCTAAGAATAATTTACTTCTTGATGCCAAGAGTCAAGATTTTCCACTGCTAAGCACAAATGCAAAATGAATTAGTACTGAATGTTTCTAGCTGCTGTGCACAAGGAATGATGGGAGACTGTTTCTGGAGTTGCAAAGGGTAAGTGATGATTGGGTGAAATGGAAACAATCGTGTTATATGAATGCCAGAAAGTAACAATGGAAAAGTTGATTATGGGTTTTTAGTTGTTTGTGGTGCGCACGCGTGTGTATGTGTGTGTGTGTGTGTGTGTGTGTGTAAATGTACATGAATATATCTGTGTGAGCCAGAGGTTGATGTCCTGTGTCTTTCTCAAACACTCCCACCTTAGTGTTTGACAGTCTTTCACTGGAGCCAGAACTCACCAAATGGCAAGGCCGGCTGGCAGCAAGCCAGGTGGAGTTTCCTGTCTCTACCTCCTCAGTGCTGGGATTACAGGCTGAGCTGCCATGATCATTCTTTATGTGGGACCTGTGGATCCAGACCAATGCTTACATGGGAGCACTTTACTGCCATCTCCCCTACAACTTCTCTGCTCCTCGTAGAAGGTGAATATAGGTCTCTGTGGCTTCCCCAAGTGGTTGTCGCCCTAAGAGTCAGTTTAGCTGAATCTGGATGCATGGAAGGTTTGAAAATAAAGGTAAGAGCATACAACAGTATAACTTGACTATTAATGGTGTTGCAGGAAGGGCGTGGAAGAGAATTTTTTCCCAAGTTAAAAATGGAAAATATTCAGATCATAGCTTAGACCATCATCTTATCCTGGAGGGGAAAATCCAAGTATTTACCCAAAACCCAGATACCAGCATGCATCTGCTCTAGATGCAGTTGACCAAGAGAACTGTAACAGCTCTGTTATAATTCCTCATGTTGTGGTCACCCCAATAGTCAATTGTTTTTGTTGAAGTCATAACTAAGTTTGCTATTGTTGTGAATTGTACTATAAATATCTGATATGCAACCCTGATGGGTCACGACCCACAGGTTGAGAACCACTGTTTCAGATTATCCTTATCAAAATCAGGTGTCAGAAAAGTCCTCTCTATTTGCTAGAAAGAGGGGGAGGGAGGGAGAAGAAGAGGAGGAGGAAATGAGAAAGAGAGAGAGAGAGAGAGAGAGCAGAGAGAGAGAGAGAGAGAGAGAGAGAGAGAGAGAGAGAGAGAGAGAGAGAGAGAGAGAAGACACACGTTTACCTCCACACTGTCTGCCATAACCCGCTGAGAAGGGAATGTGGAGATCGCCTTCCCATAGCCTTCCAAAGAGCCATGGTTTTCCATTGCATGTTTGTGACTTAGTTGCTGAAGTGGCTGCAAATGAGTCAGAAATACTCAATGTGGCTGATTCTTTGAGGCTTAAGGTCTGTGCCCTTAGCCTGGTCCTTTCTCTTCTAATGACCGCCCCACAAGACTCCTTTCTACTACACCCATACTTGGAGGATCTAAACTACCTTTGAGGTCTCTCTATGTCTCCCACAATTTATAAAGAGCCCCGCCCTTGAAGTGATCTGAATTGAAAATTGTAAGTCAATCCCCTCACACCAGCCCTGGTCCTCAAAGACAGAGATGAGAAGCCATGGTGAAGAGAGAATGGGACTGGTGGACAGTTGGATGCTGGAGTTGGTGAAGTTCAAAGGTTGATGTGCCTGGGTTAGGACTTGATAAAAGGCACACAGAGAAGTGTCACAGAACCTTCCAGAATTCACACAACTTCATGCATAGAAGTGTCAGACTTGGAAAACTAAGTGACCTGTGTTCTTTGTCATAGCTATGACTTGGGCATGGTCACTGCTACCCAACCACAGACAGTGCTGCTGTGACACACCTGTGTGTGACATGCACATGGGAGGAACTGGTCTGTAGGCTGCAAGATCTGATTGTGACACATTTGATTGCGACACACAGCCTGCAGGGACAGGACACCTATGCACATGTAAACCACAGAGGGGCAGAAGGTGAGGGTTTTACAGATTTCCATATTTATAGTTTTCTATGGCTAGTGTCTAAAGAAACAAGAAAGGTTAAACTTTTTATTTATGTTTGGATCTTTTACACATTTTAGTCATCTGTCAGGTTGATTTACTAGTTTCCAGAGGAAAGGTGATAAAAAGGTCTACCTATGATGCTGTTCTCCAAATTCTACCTTGGGACTTTCTTCATCGATCTAACCTACCTGTCTTGTATCTTATTTCCTGATCGTGGTTTTCCAAGGTGACAGTTATTGTTTCAGTTAATTTACCCTAAAACATTATTGATTTAGAGTGAATTAATATTTTTCAGAGACCATAGGCTATATCTAGAAAGCTCTGCTACTTGCAAGTAGCTCCAGTTGTGTTTTAAATTCTATTTGTAATTCTAAGACACCACTAATGCCTTTGCGGCCATCTTTAATGTGCTGTTGGTATGACGTGTGTGTCTGTTTATATTTATGGCAGTTAGCATGAGTGAGGGTTCTACTGCTGAAAGCCTGTCATTAGGGGTTCTTTGGGATTAACTCAAGCTCATATCTGCTTCACCAGGAGGGAGGAACCGAAGGCACAATATGGTCAAGGCATCCGGGTGAGGTTCAGATCTCTATTGAAGAAAGCTGCAAGATGTGATACACAGTTAGGTGATAGCCTCCAACTATTGCCTCCTTCTGTCAACCCTAGCTTTTAGTCAAGGTCACCCTCTTTCTGAGGTAGCACTACTCAGTAACTGAGCAACACAGTGGCTGTGAGTTAACCTTGCTGCCCAATGCAGGACTCTTCCGAAGGGCAGCCAACATCTGTAGACTTTCCCTCTGCCTTGTTTCTCTCTCAAAACTTACTTGCTGGTCAACCTCTGTACCTCTAACCAGACTAACCATGTGCTTCCCAGAGGAGCAAACAGACACCAGAGTTAACAGAAAATGTCAATCCTGATCTCAATCCACACTTCCTCTCCAGGCTGCTTCTGTCACCCTTCCATAAAGATAAATGATTTGGGATGGTGAGAAGGCTCCTCCAGCAAAGTGTTTGTTGTGCAAGCCTGGGCATGTGTGTTTGATAACCAGATCAAATAAGGGTTGAAGGAGAGAATGACTCCATTAAATTGCTCTCTGACATCCATGCCCATTCCATGGTACACAAGTATCTATCCACCTCTCTCTCTCTCTCTCTGTCTCTGTCTCTCTCTCTCTCTCTTCTTTCTCTCTCTCCTCTTTTTCTCTCTCTCTCCGCCCTCTCTCTCACACACACATAAATACACATTTTAAAGATGAAGATTTTGTTTCAACATAGGAATTAGACTTTATTTGAACTTATGAATTAATGAATCTAATGGATTCATCACTGGTGTCAAGATGCCATCAAGGCCTAGTACTCTTCAGCTTTCACAGAGCCCCATTTGGTTGAACCCAACATCACTGAGCACAGAGTTCTACCACAGGTGCCACTACTCTTTCCCAAACCACTGCAAGGAAACAATGCTCCAGTTCCACAGGGTGTCCATCTCTCTCTGTTTGAGGAGAGACCATGCAAGGAGAAGCAGTATTTTCATCAGGCTGATTGCATTTGAGAGTTTGAAGTCTGTCTGTGACTTTGTCACTTGTGACTATGAGTGAAAGTTCCATAAATGCTGAGGCAGAGAATGAGTAACAAGATGGAATAAGTTACATCCAAGTCAATAAACATCTCAATTGCTATGATTAGACAAAATAATAAAGATCACACTAGCTGAATCTGTCCTTAAATCACTTACATTGTTCAGAGGAGTACCTAATGTGCCTAAAATGTCACCATCCATTTCATGAAAGCCTCCAGACTTAGAATTTGAGTCTTAGTCTGGTAGCCATATCTTAACATCACTGCGGCTAGACTGTGCATACACCAGCAGGCACGTGTCTTACAAGAGGGTGTTAGTAATGGTTCCAAGGAAGATTGACTTCCTAGTACACCCCAGCCAATGTTTCAAGGCCTGGAACTTCTAAGAAGTGGGTTAATTTGTTTGTGATGACCAGCAAAGTCAATTAGACCCATCTTCTTTAAGCCTTCACAGTGCTTATGTTAAAGTAGCAATGGCCTGGCAGTGACTCCTGCCCATATGCACAGGGGGTAGGGTGGGTACTGTTTGGAGAGCTGCTACATTAGTGCTCCTAACAAAAAGCAGGGAATTCAACAAGCCGGGATTCATTGACTTTGGGGTCTCTGTTAAGGTATTCACTGGCCCTTTGTTATTTGAAGCCTGTCTCTTTCTCTCTCCATATGTCTTGCAGATAATTCCAGATGCCCAGGTGGAGAAGTGCCTGAGAGAGGTGAGCAGGTCATTGTGCTATCATTAATCACTTGCAGACAGCAGGCCCTATAGTTCTTCCAACCCTGCCCTGTGTTGCCCTGCCATGATCTACAGCATCTCACTGAAACAAGGTGAGAGAAGGCTCAGATCTTCTTGGACATCTTTCTTCTCCAGATGCCAACATTGGACTGCTTTCCTGGGGGGGTGGAAAACACATCTCTTGCTGTTCCTTTAAAACAAAAGACCCTTTCCACACATGTCTTTTGGAAAAATAAAGGACTATGGGCTTACCATCTTTTTACTTAGGGATGGCCACTTGATGTGGTAGGGAGAACACAAAAGCGAGATCATGCGTGAATAGAGTTAGTGTATGTTTTTACATTTATCTCACTTACCTCCAAGGGTATATTGCTGTTATAAGTCAAGCATTCCACATTAGCATTTGCCCAAATGAGTTCGGTAGAATACTACTTTCCTTTAAGATTCATATAAAAGTGCCGGGGTCCAGCCTGTATCAGTTCTAAGCTACAGAGGACATCTATTCTGGATTGATGTCTTTGGGGCTGTATTTGGGCCCAACTTGGAGTGGGGGAGTGTGGATTAGGGAAGTCCTAGCTACCCAGTAGCTTTAAGGATGAGACAGACATCATGTCATCTCAGGAGGGCTCTCAGCCAATACTGGAGACCACAGTTTATTCAAGCATCCTCTTAAACAGCTTTCCAAAAGCGGGGTACTGGCAGAAGACATCTATTATCATGTATATAGGGCTTACTAGGAAACACTTCCTTTAACCCTATAATGCACTCATGTACACAAGCCCTCAGACATTCCATAATGGTACCAGTCTTCAGACACATCCTACTAGTCCCCAGGCACATCCCACTAGCCCTCATGATGCATGTGGGGCCTACAAACTACAAGCCATTCTCTACTGTGGCCAGGCCATCCAGAGGTAACCAGCCAACATCTAAAAGACAATAGGAGATTTGAGCTCCTGGAGTTGAGCTGAGGCTTATGTTCAAGATATCATATTCGGGCCCAACATAAAACAAGTTTGCATCAATTGTGTCCTGGAGGTGCCATTTACCAAACCTCATGGGAGACTCACAGTGCTAGTCATAGCATGTGAGGAATCTGGCTACCAAACAGTCTACTTAACTTAGTTGAATTGGGTATCACTTGGTGATGGACTCCTTCATTGATACCCCCAGTACAGAGTGTGCTCTTAGGACTTGAATCATTGTGGTAGAGCCTTCCCTGAGGACTTGGGTTTGAATGCATTTGCTGGTCAAGTACATTTTCCTTTCTGTGCCTCAGATTCCTCATCTGAATAAGGTAATGATACATCAGAGTTGCTGGGTGATTCAAATGTGTCACTATACTTAATGAGCTCAGTACAATACCTGCTGTGTCATGAACACACTTAAGTTTCCTAATATCATTATGGTTTTCTGACTGCAAACAACAGCTTGGAGCCTAATACTAACAATAAATGAGAATTAAACATTGATAATAAAGATATAGTGAATATATTATAGTCTGATAGAAGTTTTCATGAATCCATGCTTAGTTTTCCCAAGTCTTATGTGGTCGGTATTACAGGTATTATTAGTGTTTACCCAACTATAGACTAGAAGAGAAGACTAAGAAATTTAAGTATGCTTCATGAGTAAACAATAAGGGAAAGAGCTATGAAACAAACAGGAACCTTCCACATCAGATTTGGAGCCTTTGCCACAAATTATATTTGATTTTTCTTGGATTCCAAATTAAAATGTGAAAAAATATCCATTTGTAATAGCTGTGATCTGCCTTTCCCAAGAGTGAAAGCACAATGCAAGGGATTAAATGCCAGTGTTAACAATCAAACTCAGTAAGGAGAATGACGCACAAGACAAGGGAGACAGCGACCTTCAAGGTTTCAAAGGTGCTGGCAAAGCCTCATGGAGGATTGAAAAGCATGAAGCCAGGACCATGCCACCTGATGGATGACCTCACTGCTGCTGCTTCTACATCCACAATAAGTCTGAGTTTCCTTGACAGCTGAGTAGTAATGAGGACTACACAAGTGAAGCTTTGAGATCTGTGCTTGGTGGGTTACTGTTTCCGCATCATATGTGAACTCCACATATTGTTTTCAACTCAGGAAAACCCAACTTCCAGGACTTAAAGTTACCTAGGAAAACAGAACAGTCTGTGTGTTAACCCCAGACTCCCTGGACTCACCTCCTGGTCCTTCTTAGGACCTGTCTGTGGCCAGCACTGGAATGACAGGGAATCCTGGAGCATATTTTGGAGATGACTTTACAGATGTGGTGTCAGGTTTACCTAATGCTTTTATAAAAGGTGACTCAACATTTGCCTTATGACCAAAATAAAGTAATCATGACTTGTATTCTAAGCTGAAAGATTAACAAAAACAACAACAAAAACAAGATGAGAAGAGAGGAAAATATTTCCTCTCTCACATCACAGTCATCAAGTATTGTCACAAGCTTAGTCCAAGATGACAAAGGAAGAGTCATGGACCTCTTTTGTGTTACCATCACAGTTTACTGTCCCACCACACTCCGAAAACAAAGTTTGCCTTTCTCTTCAGACCATTTTTATATGGGGAAAGGCACTTGTCTTTCAGATTGCTTTGCCAGCCAGGGAGAGTCAAATCAGTCTTGACTGCATTTATCTAAATCTAAATTCAGCCATGGGTGCCAACAGTAAATTCTCTCCTTTACCTTTGCATACCCGAGTTCTAATACATATGTGGTCCCCCCCTCTCCCCCTCTCTCTAACTTCTTTCTCTATAGAAAACTTAAGAGATGTGAGGAGGCAAAGTGCTTGCTGTATAAACATGGGACTTCAGGTCAGCCCCCAGAACCTATTAGAACAAACAAATAAAAAACAAAACAAAAACCTGAGGATGGTACTGTATCTGTTATGCCAGTATTGGGAAGGTGGAGACAGAAGGGCCCCTGGAGGCTCACTGACCAGTCAGCCTAGCTTATCCAATCTCCAAAAACAAGGTGTATGGTTCTTGAGGAACAGCACCTAAGACTGACCCATGGCATGCACACAAATGCAAAGCCACATGCATTCATACATGCACATACACTACAAAAGGAAATTTAAAAAGAGGCGAGAGTGGAGTGGAGGGGAGGAGATGAGAACTCAGTGTGCTTCTTCCCTGAACACTTTACTCACACGGCTCTGGCTACAATAATTGTTCTTGAAGTCCCACACCAGGAGAGAGCTAAGCATTGATGTTCATGGGAGACTAGGAACAACAGGAAGGATAGGCCTCATCAACTCTTCTCACTTAGTAAAGCTCCAAGTGCAACAGAGACCAAGCTTAAGCTTTCATCAGAGTCCAAACAACCCTTTCCTTCCATCTAGCTGAGCCAAATCAGAAAGGCAGAAGGCTGAAGAGTGAGCTTGTGGCTAAAGGCACCTACATTATACATGTGTCCACGGATGTCGCTCTCCTGGTCACAACTTTCTGAGACATGTTTCCTGGTTCTCAGAACACTGCACATATGCAGTTGCATTTCAGCATGAAAAGTCCGGGGAGACATTTCCAGTGAGAATGAGTATTCTAAGAAATTAGCATCAGAAGTCAAATCTGTGTTCGCTTTTTTTTCAAACTGGGGCCCTTACCTTAAATAGCCCCATACCATAATATTAGCATTTGATGGTAGACAGCAATAAAAGGGGGAGACAAGCAATGTGACCAGGTTTCCATTTTCCCTAGTGTGGGGATGCTGAGCTACCCCTTCCCATTCCATCTTTCCTAACGCTGATGGTGTTTGGGTATTGTATTTTGTCATTTTTTTAAAACTCAGATTGGTTTGCAAGCTTGCATCTTTCTGAAGACCAGTAACTAACTATCCACAAGCCTCAAGTAGGTATCAAGTGTGTACATGTAGGCAAGTAGAATTGCTGGGGAATGCATGAGGTGGATTGATTCGCACCTACAATTTACATTTGTTCCCAGGTATGTTTGGCAGTAATGTCATATCTGAAGGACTCTGATGAAGATCAATCGCATAAACAGTTTTTGCTGATTTTTTAAGCGGCATGTTGGTTGTCTTATTTGATTTTTCAAGTTTGATGCCTAATAGTATGATGGGGAGCCTTAACTCTTTTTTCCCCCAGCTATTTCGTAGATGGAGTATCCTAAAACAATCTAACTTAATACACTTTTGGAGCAAGGTGTCTGCTAACCTTAGCATTCTAGCTAGATAGACTGACTGTACAAACGCCACTCTCAACTCAATTTCAGGAATTTCAGACACATCTGGATTTGGGCAGAACTCCCCCGAATAAAATAAAAATTGAGCACATCCAAGACTGGATAATTTTTCTAGATTTTCCTGTTCAACTAATGTTGGCTTTGAATTTGGAGTTTAGATTGTCAAAGGTTCTCCTCTCTCCTTTGTAAGTGAGACTTGGTTTTGGTCTCTGCTTCCTGTGCACTAGGGGCTACTCACCAGCATGTCAGTGGAACACAGTAAAAATACATATTAGGTGCTCCCAGGAGACTACACAAAATCTGTCACTGGGATGGATCTTGGGAAAGGGGGTTATGGCATATGGGAGTCTCACTGTCATTGGGGTTCAAGGAAATCCTGGGGAATGGTTGCATGGTCATGGTTCTGAAAAATGCCATGGATTTACTGTCTGTGCCCAGAAACAGGGTATCCGTACCCACGCACTGCTGCCCCTGCTGTACCTCATCCTGGCTGCTAATCACCATACACCATATTTTGCTTTCAGCCCTTGTTGAGACTCAGCAGTTCTATTTTATTCTAAGTTTAGACTTGCTAATGACACAGTGGCTAATCGGGGGTAACAAGCTATGTGGGGACAGGGGTGTCCAATTCTCAACCTCAAGAGGAATGTTGTCATCTACAAAGCTCACGGTGGAGAACCAAGCAATCCAATTATAACATTTGCAAAAATATATCATAATATTTTAATTACATCTGTGATTCTGTTGGATGGCATTCATAGTTACTTAGGGGCATGCAGACACCAGCCAGCACTAGGCCAGACCCAAACTATTATTTTCTAAATAAAGTTTTATTGGCTCACAGCTGAGCTCATTTGTTTACATTTTTCAGTCTTTGCTCTTCCATTGCAACAGCAGGGTCAAGAAGTTTTGTGGCCAACAGAGCCAAATGTATTTATTATTTGGCCCTCCTAGAAAAGTTTACAGTATTCTGAGCTGAAACACAGGGATGGTATGGAGGCCAGAAGATCAGTCTGTGTCTACTCAAGGTACATATGGTTGGGTCATGGAGACTGATTGGCCGGTACCTGAGAGCTCTCCCCAAGAAATGCCAGTGTGTCACGTGGGAAAACCAAGGCACCGTTTTTGTCTTCACATCTTTCAAAAGGGCATTTGCTTCAGCATAATTCAGGGTTTGTTTTACGTGGAAGGAGTAGTATGGAGCTTGGGGTATAAGGGAATGAATGGGAAGCAGGGAAAGAATAATTTACTAGCACACAGCCTCCAGGATGCGTGGATTCGGAACTGGCACCCAAGCCCTCATAGGCTCTGCATAGGTCCCCGCAGCTCTTTCAACAGCATGTCATCTTGCCTGCCTACCTGTAAGCTCTAGGCTAGAACAGGCTTCCTCTCTGCCAACATGAAGGGTTTGCCTCTATCACAGCTGCCTGCTGTGAATTTTGCTTCCCCATGGGCTGCCACACATGATTCCAATGGAGAATGCCCCAGCCTGGAGCTGCACGTGGGGGCTTCCATTTAACATTGCTGGGAAAGGTTTGAGTTCACATTAGCTCCTGAGCAATTTGCAGAGGGTGAACATTTGAGCTCATCTATGAAGGAGAAAACATGCAGTGCCTTTCCACCCTGTCAGGCCTGGACTTGTGAATGGACCGAAGACTTCTGGGGTGGGGAGAGCCAGGAAGAGCTGGGGTAGGAGGTAGATGACACTGGTAGAAAGAATTCCAGCCTTGGGACTTACCTGAGGCAATCTCCAGGGCTTAGGTGCTTTCCTTGAAATTCAGGTGTCTTGCTTTGAGCTGTTTTATCATTTCAATACTTCCCGTCCTGTTGAGCGGCATCTGCAGTTCTCCGACGGTCATCTCTACAGCTGGCTGTTGGGACAATGCTCTCAAACCTCTCTAGATCAAAAGCCTTTGAGCTTTGGGATTCCGCTGGTGCCTCCAACAGTAGAGCGTGACTTTGCTTTTCTGAGCTGTTTGCTAAAAGGAACAGTTTGGGACACAGTGGTTTTATTTTACCCAGAACAACAAATCTTAAAAGGATTAAAATACTCACAAGTACATATTCTATATATTTCCAGAAATAAGGACATATTCTGCATAATTTCCAGAAATAAGGGCATCTTCCAAGCAGCATAGGCCAAACCTCCAGACACAGTGGACATAACTCAAGCTTGCACAGATATCAATAACCAGTCACCATGTTCTTCTCTGCCAAGCCTACACAAGCCTCAGGATCATTCGAAATGCTGTCTTTCTGGGCACACTATCAGCAAGTAAAACAAAGACTTAAGTGGATTTATGACTTCCAACACAAGTAGTCATGTTTGAGGAGAAAACAGATTATGAATAATAGTAGCTGTCATGTATTCAGTTTTATTATGTGTCAGACATTGTTCTGTTTGACGAGGCATCGCTTTGTATAAGCCACATTAAGTACGGGCTTTGTTTGGATTATTGTTCTATCACCAGTGTTCACAAGCACCTTTGGCTCGTGGTGGTGGTTGAAAAATGCTGGCTTAAATATGTCCTACCACCAGCCATTAAACATACGTTATGAATGAAGAAATGGCAAGTTCAAAATCACCTAGGTGAGTAAAGCCTGGAGCCGTGACTACCTACGGCATCATGTTTCTCTTATGTTTTTAACCATCTTGCCCCACTACTGGTAAGGGTTCTTATTTCCAAACGTCCAGCCTGTAGGCTGCTCAGTCTCCTGGGCCTCTCCAGTGTTCTTGGCATCCAGTCTGTCTCAAAGTTCAGAGTGCTTTCTTTATATAAAAAAATTGAAATCCAAATGCCTGTGGGTTGCATCAGAAACTGAGAGAGAGTAGGCCAGGTTGACACAGGGGAGGTAGGGGGTGGAAAGAGCGTGTGCTTCTGGCAGCTGCTTCGCTACTCCAGCAATCGCAGCTGTGGTTGATCCAAGCCAATCCTACCAGTTCCTCTCATTTTTCAAGGGAATCTAGATTTGGTGTGGAAGTATTTCCATGAAGCAGCTCATGTTTAAAATATTGACAAGCAGGGGAAGTTAAAAACAAAAAACCAAAACCAAAACATTGCCTGCCAAGTAAAACAGCTGCGCAGGGTCATCTGCCCCATTGATCCATCTGTACTGAGCCACCTGTAGAAGATAGCGAAGAAATGGGAACAAGTCAAAGTGGCTTTGGGTAATTGGTCCTGTAGTTCCAGGCAGAGGAGAACATGGGAGACAGGCTGTAAGTGTTTATGGACTTAGATTAAAGGCTTCTGGGAATTAGAACTACAGCGATGACTCTCGACATTTGGCTCAGTGCTTCGTATTTTTCACCTCACTTGTATGTATGTACTTGCATTTTCCTGCAGATCATACTGATTGATGGGTCGATTACTTGAGCAATACTGAGCAAGGCTGTCCCAGAGCAGATCCCAATTTTCCACTCCTCTACTTGCTTTTCTTTAGCTACACAGACTGTCAACAGTATTGAGTAGCCAGCACTATTTGTTGTTCTCATAAGCCTGCATGGTTTCATCTCTTATAAACGAGAAGTACAGCAGACAGAGCTCGTGCCCAATTATGGATGACTATTCAGAAAGGGAAAAAAACAGGGCTGTCGCTGGAGGACTCAGCATAATGGCTCAGGCTTATTAGTCTTGGCAGATGACTGTTGATTCTTGGTTGTTGATTTTTTGCTTGGTCCCTAATTACAAAAAATCTACACCTATTAAAGGCCAAATAAATAATATAATTGTGTCCTAATCAGTAGGCATATTCCTAAACTCTCACCTAATGACTACTAGTTCTGGGGTGTGGCTACTCCATGCACAGCTGTGGCCTGTCCTAGCTGAAAGCTACCTGCTTTGTATGCTCTGGAGAAACCAGTTAACATTGAGCAGACTTGAAAAATCATTAGGCAGAGGGAGATTTTTCTGATCACTGATTTTGTGAAAGCCCCTCAAATATCAGTTCTGGGTGGGAAGGACTGTTGGCATTTGACACCATCCTGCCAGGTTGTGCATTTGACAGCTGGGGTGTCTTTTTCTCAGCCATTGGCCTGACTACTGTCAGAAAGCCAATTAGACTCTCAGGCAATTAAGGTTATTTTCCTCAAGGGCTGCTGGCAAGACTTCTATCACGTAGCCTTTCGCATGAAATCTGTGACCTTTGGAAATGCATGCTCAGGGGCCGCAAAGAAGCTTGGCTGTGCAGCTACTGTACTTCATTAAATGACAAAGAATATGAAAATAAATTGTGCTTGCTCTGTGCAGAGATTTCTGCGAAGCTCTTTACATCCCAGGATCCTAAGCAATGAAGATGTATATCTACACCAAAACCCAGATAAACCATAAAAGGCAGTAGATGTACTGAACAGTGGTACGTTTACATATGTTCAGCAAGTTATTTGACAAAATTTATGAATTGGAACATGTTCAGAATTGGGCTTCATAACTTACAGTTTACACTTGTCTTACCACATTTTAAAGGGGGACATTAACAAACTGAAAACAAAAAGGAAGGCCCTGATATTTTTGGAGGAGTAGGAGAAAATGGCTGTTTAACTCACACATAGAAGACTCTGGGGATACATACGGGGGACTTGTCTTGCAATGGATAAGATGAACGGTCTGCAAGGAAGGTTGTCTCTGGGTCCTCCCAAGGGATTCCTCATACCCCTTGCTTGAGAAGGGCCTTGCTCCGGCATCATCAGAGAAGCTTCCACTAGAAGCAAGGGTAAATAAGGGGCTCACAGCCAGGCATTATACAGAGGGAACACTCAGCCCTAAATAGGACCTCTCCATCAAACCCTTCCCTTTGGATTTCAGAAAACCCTGTGGAAGAGGAGGCAAAAAGAGTGTAAGAGCCGGATGAGTTGGAGGATACCAAGGAACCAGGCTGTCTACATCAAGGGGATCAAAGCTCATATGAACTCACAGAGCCTTCATACACACAGGGCCTGCACAGGTCTGCACCAGATAGGGTCTTAGAGCTGAAAGAAGTAGACACACACCTTCTTCCCTAACCCAGAGACTACCTTTAATAGATAAACTCTTGCAAATGAAAACTTAGTTTTCTTCAAGGGAGTCTCACTGGGCAAACAAACTACTCTTAAGTTTAGACTCCATGTTCAGCAGTAGATGGTCAACAGAAAATGAACTTGGTGGCATCTTTGGGGTTTCTTTGGGGTTTAATAATGTCATGTTATGGATTCAAGATCATGAAGGGGAAATCTACAAAGGCAGCTGAGCCAAGCTTGTGGGAACTCATGAACTATAGACCAACAGCTGTGGAGCCTCCATGGGACCGAATTAGGCCCTCTGCATGTGGGAAACAGCTGTGAATCTTGGGTACCTGAGGGGCTCCTGACAGTAGGACCAGTAATGATCCCTGGTGTATGAGGTAGCTTGTTGGAGCCCATTCCCTATGAGGGGATGTCCTGCTCAGCCTTACAGCAGTGGGAGGGTCTTGGTCCTGCCCCAACTTAATGTGCCAGATTTTGTTGACTCCTCATGGGAGCTCTTACCTGTAGGAAGAATGGATGAAGGGTGGGCTGTCGGGGTGTGGGACAGGAGGAGGGGAGAGAGGAAAAACTGTGGATGGAATGTAAAATGAAATTAAAATAAATTTATAAAAACCTCATTATACACACATATATACATATGTATGCAACACACACACACACACACACACACACACAGTTTCTCCTTTTACCTTACAGATCTTTGCATATACATTATGGTTTCCAGTTTAGTGTTTTTATGAGATTCCTCAGTGTGCAAACAAGTATGTATCTGAGTCTACATTTCTTGTGCCTTTTCTTTGGCTCTTTCCCTTTCATTGGTTTGTTTGTCCTATTCCACTGCGTTAGTTTTTGTTTTATCTATTTTATTATCCCTTAGTAGCCTATTTGGTTTCTAATGAAAGACAGAAGGAGGTGGATCCAGCTGGGAGGGGATGTGGGGAGAAACTTGGAGGAACAGAGGGAGAGGAAACTGTAACCAAAATATACTGTGTGAGAAAAAGAAATCTATTTTCAATAAAAGGGGAAAAAGAAAAATAAATGCATAGATAATTCCAGAAATGAAGGGAACCAATAGTGCAGGGTGGCTTGAAAAGAGATGACTACAGTGAGGAAGACGGTGACTCACATCAGGTGGCGTTGTAAGGGGCTTCTACCATCGCATGAACCAGGACTGCAAACTGGTAGCTCTAGGAGCTTTCACAGAGATGGGGATTGTTTATCCGTTCAGTTCTCTCTCTCTCTCTGGAGCTGCAAAGCTGGACACTTACTCCTTGGTTTTCGCTAGCCCCAGCTGTCTGCTGTTTCAGACATAGCTCTGCTGACTCCCGACCCCCTGTAGTGACTGAACAGAACACCTTTGCTTAAAGGAAAAGCAGCCAACTTCCTGTCCTGAGAGGGAGGGGTAGCCATAGGCTGAAAGGAGAAGTGTACCAGGTCAGCTCTCCAGCCCTTCAGTTCTAGAATGGTGTGAGTCACTCTGGTCTTTCACCAAAGTGAGAATCGCACTGATGGCCAGTTCCTGCCAATCCCAAATACTTCCTTTCAACGTGGTTAATCCCCATTCCTGGGCCTGTGCAGGTTCCAATGACTGACTCTCAGTAAGCTAGGGGCCCATCTTGGATCTCCCATGGTGATTAACTGAGTTATATCTTCATCTCCCCTCCCCTTTTCTCTCTCCTTTCTCCACTGCACACCCAGATCTACTCTCCAGGAGCCAATCGAGGGACTGCAGGAGTAGGGTGCAGCATCTGATGGAGATGAATTGTGTCACCAATTAGTGACATGAGTGTTGAGAGAGGCTGGAACTGAGCGAGTTCACAGGGAGCTGGGATCAGGGGCTTGCTAGAATGTGAAGGTCACCAAGGTTTTGCTGAGTGCTAATCACTTTCCATCACCCTGGCTAATGGGTGCAGAATATTTGGCTCAATTACTTTTCAGCTATTCCAGGCTAGCTCCTAAGAGAGCTGCAAAATGCTGGCTCCAGCTGTGTCCCTTCCTTGTTGCACCTTTTAAAGAACATGAATTATTCTTAAATTTGGCTCCCTAAAATTTAGGTAATGATTCACAAGAGAGCGAGGGAGGCAGCTAGAGCAGAAAACAAACCACCTGCTTAGGATTCAAGGCCCAATCACTGACAGCACACCTAATCAGATTGAATTGGTACTAAAACGCTGCATGTAAGTGCCTTCAGCCTCTTACAGATGCTGCAGAACCAGACTGGAAAAGGCCAGATTGTCTTATTACTCATCGGAGAATGGAAGATGTGGAATTTCTCAGGTGAATGTCATTTGCATTCACTTGGAAAATGCTGAAGAAACACCAGCAGTTCTGGAAAGGTCGTTCTCATGGATCCCGGTGGGGGGGGGGCAGTGTTCTCTGGGTTGAGACTTCTGTGTTTTCACTATCCCTCAGGTGTCATAAGCCCGTGGCCGGATGGTATCCTTGGGCCACATATGTGTTGGTTCTCAAGTAAGTGCCCAATATGTCAGGCCATCAAGGCAGATGGTGAGTCAGACAATGATACTGAACTTTGGAAAATAAACCACTTGAGAGCCCAGCTGGGGAGATGCCTGAAATTGGAAAATACTGTAATAGAATATTTGATTTGCCACTAAAGACCTTAACTGGGAAGATTGCCACCTTGAAATGATAGGACAGCTCGGCTGATTTCGATCTGGGTAGTAACTGTCCATCAGCAGACTGGGTCCTGGGCTCCCATTGTATTCTCAAAGTGTATTGCTTCACTTCTCCACCCCACATGCTACATGTCCACGAGCATGCGCCTGGAAAAAGGCTTCCGGCTGCATCTGATAAATTGCAACATTATTTATTAGCTAAGGTATGAGTCTGTTTCACTAGCTATTATTTTTTTTAGAATGCTAGTAGGTGACCATCAGGGTAGATGACATGATAAATGAAATGTCATTTCCACTTAATTCAATTTTCTGTTTCTCCAGTCCTTCAGCTGCTGACCTGGCCTCTTGGAAACAAACTTGTTTTTCTGTGATTCACCAGAAACTGTCCGGATAAGGATACTCCAGTCTTCCAAGGGTTAGCTTCATTGACCCACTAAGAAGGATGGCCCCATGTCCAGGTAAGCCAGGGGCCCATTTTCCCACCTTTCTATGGAAAATTGCTCAGCTTGACACACCAGCAAATCTCTTCCCTGCTCCTTCCCAGCTGAAGAACTTTACTTGACAAATCCAAGCCTTGTGGGTTAATGACTCCAAAAGCAGCCTGCAGTCAGAGAAAGGTGGGAGGCCAGTAGAAATTACTAGTTTTTCTGACCCCCATTGGGACAGTTCTCTGAATCTTGTTCTGAACATAGTGTTCATAAATGCGCATAAACTCGTAGTAGAGTAAGCTCCAGTTGTCCACAGTGATATGTGACCTGAGAGCATTTCAATGGGCAAAAGATATGAACCATTTGCAGTAGACAAATGCTCTCTGTATCTGCTTGAGTGTAACCCAAATGAAATCAGACCCCATGCAGCAGGAAGGGTATGCAAGTTAGACTGCGAGATGGCAATTCAGGGGACCTGCATTTGGCCCTAGGTCTGGCATTATCAGGAAGCCTTGGCTTCCCCACTCCTCCAGTCACAATCAGAAATGTAATGGTAAGTGAACATAGGGAAGAAGGAAGGTGGTACATGTTGACATGCAAGGCCAGTCAACCTCTCTGTGGTTGGTTATTGGCTGTTCCCAACAGCAAAGTGTAAGTCCTGAGAGTATGCTTTTGTTTAGCTCTGTTCTTCCGTAAAATAGACAATGACATTAAACAGTTCTCTTGCAGTTGTAATGCCACTAGTTGAGTTGTTTCTATGTCTTAGAAAGTTCATTCATGCATCAAAGCTCCAGCCCTTTGGGTACCAGAGCTCTATCAGTGAACAGTATCCTTTTAATGGGAGGAAAGTGTTTGGGATTTGTTTCTCATTGGTCCAATCCTTGTTTTGGTTTTGGTTTTGAATTTTTTTTTGAGACAGGGTTTCTCTGTGTAACCCTGACTGTCCTGGAACTTACTTTGTAGACCAGGCAGGCCTTGAATTCACAGAGATGTACCTGCCTCTGCTTATCCCCTCCAAGTGATGGCAATCCCATCCATTTTGTTGCATACTTCATGTAAACAATTAAATGATTTTATTGTATCCTTTTCTTATCTTGGCCCTCTTGGTTGTAAGAGTTCTTTATATATTCTGGCTATATCTTTTGTCAGATATGTACATTTGAGGTGTTTTCTGTTTTCTGTGCGTTTCCCCCAATGATATTCTCTGAAGCACAAAAGGTTTGGGTTTTGACAAAGTCCTATTTATACTGATTTTCTTTTAAAGTTTGTGCTTTTGATACTGAATTTAACATCTCTTTGCCTAACATAAAGATACAGTGATTTTCCTGTCTTCTCAGATATGTTCTCTAGTTTCAGCTCTAATACTGAGAAACATAATGAGTTGAGCTTGTGTTTGTATATTTTTTTTCCTTTTGGCTAACCCTTCCATCTTTGCCCAAAATCATTTGATTACTTACACGCTAGTTCTGGCTTCTGAGTTCTAGTCTTTGTACCTATCCACATTGCCTCATGGTAGTGTTACACTGCTTAATAGAATTTTTCAAGAGGAGATCATGAAGAATGATCTGGAGACTAGAGTGGTGAGAGCATCTTAGATATGGCAATTAATCACAGTTTGGGGAGAGTCATGTTCCAGTGTAGGCCAAGCAGAGAGGAGTGTAGTACCCGTATAGTCTCATCTCCAGAAAGTGACAAATCATGGGCTTTCAACCCA